CCTCCACCCATCCCCCACACATCCTCAACCCTCCTTCCACCCCCTCCCCATCCCCCACACATCAACCCTCCTTCCACCCCCTCCCCCCATCCCCCACACATCATCAACCCCTCCTCTTTTCCACCCCTCCCCATCCCCCCACACACACCACAACCCTCCTTCCACCCCTCCCCCATCCCCCCCACATCATCAACCCTCCTTCCCCACCCCTCCCCATCCCCCACACACATCATCAACCCTCCTTCCACAACCCTCCCCATCCCCCCACACACATCGTCAACCCTCCTTCGCCCCCTCCCCATTCCCCCCACACATCATCAACCCTCCTTCCACCCCCTCCCCATCCCCCACACATCATCAACCCTCCTTCCACCCCCCCCCATCCCCCACACATCAATCCTCCTTCCACCCCCTCCACACCCCCACACATACCCCCAACCCTCCTTCCACCCCCTCCCCATCCCCCCACACATCATCAACCCTCCTTCACCCCCTCCCCATCCCCCCACACATCATCAACCCTCCTTCCACCCCCTCCCCATCCCCCACATACACCCCAACCCTCCTTCCACACCCCCTCCCCATCCCCCACACATCATCAACCCTCCTTCAACCCCCCTCCCCATCCCCCCCACACATCATCAACCCTCCTTCCACCCCCTCCCCCATCCCCCACACATCATCAACCCTCCTTCCACCCCCCCCATCCCCCCACACATCATCAACCCTCCTTCCACACCCCCTCCCCATCCCCACACACACCCCCAACCCTCCTTCCACCCCCTCCCCATCCCCCTACACATCATCAACCCTCATTCCCACCCCTCCCCATCCCCCCACACATCATCAACCCCCTTCCACCCCTCCCCATCCCCCCACACATCATCAACCCTCCCTTCCACCCCCTCCCCATCCCCCCACACATCAACCCTCCTTCCACCCCCTCCCCATCCCCCCACACACACCCCCAACCCTCCTTCCACCCCCCTCCCATCCCCCCCACACACCCCCAACCCTCCTTCCACCCCCTCCCCATCCCCCTACACATCATCAACCCTCCTTCCACCCCCCTCCCCATCCCCCACACATCATCAACCCTCCTTCCACCCCCCTCCCCATCCCCCCACACATCATCAACCCTCCTTCCTCCCTCCCCATCCCCCCACACATCATCAAACCCTCCTTCCCACCCCTCCCCATCCCCCCACACATCATCAACCCTCCTTCCACCCCTCCCATCCCCCCACACATCAACCCTCCTTCCACCCCCTCCCCATCCCCCCACACACACCCCCAACCCTCCTTCCACCCCCTCCCCATCCCCCCACACATCATCAACCCTCCTTCCACCCCCCTCCCCATCCCCCTACACATCATCAACCCTCCTTCCACCCTCCCCATCCCCCTACACATCATCAACCCTCCTTCACCCCTTCCCCATCCCCCCACACATCATCAACCCTCCTTCCACCCCCTCCCCATCCCCCTACACATCATCAACCCTCCTTCCACCCCTCCCCATCCCCCTACACATCATCAACCCTCCTTCCACCCCTTCCCCATCCCCCCACACATCATCAACCCTCCTTCCACCCCTTCCCCATCCCCCCACACATCATCAACCCTCCTTCCACACCCTTCCCCATCCCCCCACACATCATCAACCCTCCTTCCACCCCCTCCCCATCCCCCCACACATCATCAACCCTCCTTCCACCCCCTCCCCATCCCCCCACACACACCCCCAACCCTTCAGTTAGGTTTCAACATCACGTTTAAAAAATCTTGGAAATTTGTATGTGTTAAATTTTAATTATTAATATTATGAGTATTAGAAAGCATTAGTAGTAGTAGTAATTAATATTATTAGTAATAGTCATAGTAATAGTAGTAATAATTAATATTATTAGTAGAAATAGTCGTAGTATTAGTAATAGTACTAACAGTAATTAATATTATTATTAGTAGTATTAGTAAAGATAGTCGTAGTAGTAGTAGTAGTCATAGTAATGGTAGCATTGATCTCCGAATTTTTTTTTTTTTTATTATTCAGAGTTTTCATTTGGTAAACCATACCCCCGGCCGGGATTGAACCCGCGGTCATAGAGTCTCAAAACTCCAGCCCGTCGCGTTAGCCACTAGACCAGCTAGCCACAATAAGATTCATCCAACTAGGTATATTTCTACACCATAGGAAAGTTAGCACAGGCACCTCTGTGACCACAAATGCAAGTTTTTACAGACGAATCTCCAGCTAGCGTGGCCGTGACGAACTCTAGCTCAAGTCCCTTCACTGCCGTTCAATCCCGGCCGGGGGTATGGTTTATTTGCAATCGTGTCATTACGATTTCTTAAGTCATGTTTTCATTTGGTACATAAACAATGCCTCATCCGACAGGCTTCAAATTTTCAACGCTGGTGTATGGTAACTAGGACAATATTCTTGGAACTATTGGTAGGTGCAGGTCAGGTGTCTAATTTCTCAGACAGAGAAGATCAGTTCTCTCTGCCGCATTAAATCTGAAGTTTGGAAATTTAGGTTTATCATGGTGGGTCAGCTGTGTATACATTTAGGCCTGTGATAGTTGTGAGGATTTAGGCCTTGTAGTGATTGACTCATCACATTGCTTGGTCGCCCAACTTGCACCAGTGTACCACTGTGGTATTGTTGTATGAAGGTACCAGTGTACCACTGTGGTATTGTTGTATGAAGGTACCAGTGTACCACTGTGGTATTGTTGTATGAAGGTACCAGTGTACCACTGTGGTATTGTTGTATGATGGTACCAGTGTACCACTGTGGTATTGTTGTATGATGGTACCAGTGTACCACTGTGGTATAGTTGTATGAAGGTACCAGTGTACCACTGTGGTATTGTTGTATGATGGTACCAGTGTACCACTGTGGTATTGTTGTATGAAGGTACCAGTGTACCACTGTGGTATTGTATGAAGGTGCCGGTGTACCACTGTGGTATAGTTGTATGAAGGTACCAGTGTACCACTGTGGTATTGTTGTATGATGGTACCGGTGTACCACTGTGGTATAGTTTGTATAAGGTACCAGTGTACCACTGTGGTATTGTTGTAATGAAGGTACCAGTGTACCACTGTGGTATTGTTGTATGAAGGTACCAGTGTACCACTGTGGTATAGTTGTATGAAGGTACCAGTATACCACTGTGGTATTGTTGTATGAAGGTGCCGGTGTACCACTGTGGTATTGTTGTATGATGGTACCAGTGTACCACTGTGGTATTGTTGTATGATGGTACCAGTGTACTACTGTGGTATTGTTGTATGAAGGTACCAGTGTACAACTCTGGTACAGTTGTGTGAAGGTACCAGTGTACCACTGTGGTATAGTTGTGTGAAGGTACCAGTGTACCTCTGTGGTACAGTCATGTGAAGGTACCAGTGTACCACTGTGGTACAGTTGTGTGAAGGTGCCAGTGTACCACTGTGGTACGGTTGTGTGAAGGTACCAGTGTACCACTGTGGTACAGTCATGTGAAGGTGCCAGTGTACCACTGTGGTACAGTTGTGTGAAGGTACCAGTGTACCACTGTGGTACAGTCATGTGAAGGTACCAGTGTACCACTGTGGTACAGTTGTGTGAAGGTGCCATTGTACCACTGTGGTACAGTTGTGTGAAGGTGCCAGGGTACCACTGTGGTACAGTGTGAAGGTACCAGTGTACCACTGTGGTACAGTTGTGTGAAGGTACCAGTGTACCACTGTGGTACAGTTGTGTGAAGGTACCAGTGTACCACTGTGGTACAGTTGTGTGAAGGTACCAGTGTACCACTGTGGTACAGTTGTGTGAAGGTACCAGTGTACCACTGTGGTATAGCTGCGTGAAGGTACCAGTGTACCACTGTGGTATAACTGTGAAGGTACCAGTGTACCACTGTGGTATTGTTATGTAAGGGTGCCAGTGTACCACTGTGGTATTATGTGAGGGTACCAGTGTACCACTGTGGTATAGTTGTGTGAAGGTACCGGTGTACCACTGTGGGATAGTTGTGTAAAGGTACCACTACCACTGTGATATAGTTGTGTGAAGGTACCAGTGTACCACCGTGGTATAGCTGTGTGAAGATACCAGTGTACCACTGTGGTATAGTTGTGTGAAGGTACCAGTGTACCACTGTGGTATAGTTGTGTGAAGGTACCAGTGCACCACTGTGGTATAGCTGTGTGAAGATACCAGTGTACCACTGTGGTATAGCTGTGTGAAGATACCAGTGTACCACTGTGGTATAGCTGTGTGAAGATACCAGTGTACCACTGTGGTATAGCTGTGTGAAGGTACCAGTGTACCACTGTGTGGTATAGCTTGTTGAAGGTACCAGTGTACCACGTGGTATAGTTGTGTGAAGGTACCAGTGTACCACTGTGGTATAGCTGTGTGAAGGTACCAGTGCACCACTGTGGTATAGCTGTGTGAAGGTACCAGTGTACCACTGTGTGAAGATTCTAGTCTATATGGGATAGGTGTTTCTGAGCCTCCAGGCAGTACTGCAGTGTTGGACTGTTACACTAGGGTTCACATGTGTACTGCTGGCACAAACAGCCTGACTGATCAGGTCAGCAGCAACTGTACTCGGCCTGGGACCTGTGACGATGACTCAGGATCCATCAACAAGTGGTCACAACAGCGCTAATAGTAAAGGGTAAACTCTTAAAGCTAGGATTGTTATTATTATTATTAGTAGTAGTAGTAGCAGCAGCAGCAGCAGCAGTAGTAGTAGTAGTAGTAGTAGTAGTAGTAGTAGTTGTAGTAGTAGTAGTAGTAGTAGTAGTAGTAGTAGCAGTAGTAGTAGTAGTAGTAGTATTGTGGTGCGCTAACCCCTGTGGACTATTCAGCGGTCCTAGAGGCTTTCGTGTACCTAAGAGGCTTTATCAAGCCATTTCCTGGCAGAAATGAGTCTCCAGTATGCAGTACTGAGTTGTATGGAGTTATTATTTTTGTCACAGGAACGAATAAAAACACGACATTAAAGCTATTTTTTTATCACACAGATTGAAAGATACCAACAGCTGTAAACAACAGTTGTTTGCAAAAGTTGTATCTTAAACAGAATTTGTCTTAGGAGAAGTAAAGAGAGCTCAACTCAGCTTCCTTTATAAATAACAATCATATACGAAATCAGTCAAATAGACATGAACAAGGAAAGTCTTTCTTAAATATGACGTTTCGCCCAGTGAACTTTATCAGATTATTTTATTAAGTTTTCATTTAGCAAAGCGTGTTAATAAAGGTTCTGTCTGCTGGATTTTGAATGAACTCTGTGCATTGTTGGCGAATAATGTCTGAAGGCTCTTGTTATACAGAACTGGACTTATCACTTCCTTTCTCGCATCACACCAGATTATCTCCGTTAAAATAGGCTTGTCTTTTAAGATGAGCTTAGTATCCGCAAGATGGTATTAATTTCCGCGAAGATGTACATAGAGCTACTGGTAAAATGGCTCTAGAACTCGTGGTAAGTAGGTAGACACGACTACTAAAAGGAGCCTCTAGCATCTGCAGTATCTCCTGCTGCTACTATTGCAGGAGAGCTGCTCTTTCTTGGGCTGTAGGCACTCCGTCACATCCGAAAGTATTAGCACAGATGTCGTTCTCGAATTTAAGACTGGTCTGGAGTCTGTTACATTGGTCTGGATTGGCCGCCAGGCTGTTCCTGATTAAGCACATTTGTTCAGTGATTTCAGGGCTGCAGCTGCTGCACTGGAAGCCCGCGATGTCAAAGGCTTGCATCATAACTGCAACAAAAGAGAGATATGTGAAAAATAAAAGAATAAATGTAACTGCTGTGCTAGAAAAGATTCACAATAAATGCTGAATATGAAAATGAAAATTTAACGAACACAAACGGCCCATTATTAAGTCTCCAGCTGAGAATCAATGTAAACTTCATAGACCTCGATACTAGTTTGACTGGCAAATTGTGCAGACAAGTATCGTAAAAGAGAATTTTCAGACTATTATAGGTCTCTATAGTACAATATAATATTCTAAAGAGTGGGATTTTAACAGATACAGCAGCAGCTGGATTAAAATTTTGGTTTTCTTAGGACTATAGTTTTTGAAATAAAATTTTGAAACGGCATTTTTATAGCTAAAGTCAACATAACGTGAAAATTAAAAAAAACATTGATGGTGCAAGAGTGTGGCATAAAATGGAGGCTGTGTCAGGAAGCTTTGCTAAATGTCTTATAAGTGAAGGTTCCTTCAAGGTTGGTACCTTGTCACTGATAAAGGACTCTTGATCCCAGGAATTGAGGCTGCCCTCCATCCTCGGATCAAGCATGGTCCATTGATATTGTATAAGTTGTGTGGTCAGAATATGAGGACAATGAAATAGCTGGAAATCATTCTTGAGGTTCCATAGTGTGCCTAGCGCTGGCAAGAAATTGGTGTTTTCATGCATCTGTGGCAGAGTGACCTAAGGCGTCACGTAGGGAACTATACCACCTTCCAAAAGTGGGTTCGAATCCCGCTGAACATGATCTTTGTGTGTGTGTGTGTGTGTGTATTGCCGAATAGGTAAAACTTGCGATTTTGGCTTAAATAGCAACGCTCTTCTTGCTGAATAAGGCAAGCGAAAATTTGTGTATGCATAACTTCTCAAAAATCATTCTGAACCTAACGAAAAAAATATATTTTGTTTGTTTGTTATTAAATTATTGTAATCTTATCAAAAATATATTTAGTTGGATTAAGCTAAATTAAATTGTGCTTGTTATAATAAGGCTAGGTAAGTTTTCTGAGGTTCTTTTGGTATAAAATTATTAATTTTTACATTAACATAAATGAAAAAAATATATCTTTAAACGTATAAGAGAAAATTTTTGGACTTAATTTTAAATGAGTTCTTGCTAATAGACCAGTTTTACCTATTTGGCATGACATTATGTATGTATGTATGTATATGTATAATATATATATATATATATATATATATATATATAAATATATATATATATATATATATATATATATAATATATGATATTTTTTTTTTTTCAACAAGTCGGTCGTCTCCCACCGAGGCAGGGTGACCCAAAAAAGAAAGAAAAATCCCCAAAAAGAAAATACTTTCATCATCATTCAACACTTTCACCACACTCACACATTATCACTGCTTTTGCAGAGGTGCTCAGAATACAACAGTTTAGAATCATATACGTATAAAGATACACAACATATCCCTCCAAACTGCCAATATCCCAAACCCCTCCTTTAAAGTGCAGGCATTGTACTTCCCATTTCCAGGACTCAAGTCCGACTATATGAAAATAACCGGTTTCCCTGAATCCCTTCACTAAATATTACCCCAATGGAAATAAGTCACTCTGTCTGACTTTTTTGGGTTATCCTAGGTTCTCTACACATATGCTGCTATGTATGATAATTCTATGTAACTGTATTTGTGTATACCTGAATAAACTTACTTACTTACCTACTTACTTACTTACCCTGCTCACACTCCAACAGATCGTCAGGTCCCAAGTATCATTCGTCTCCATTCACTCCTATCTAACACGCTCATGCACGCTTGCTGGAAGTCCAAGCCCCTCGCCCACAAAACCTCCTTTACCCCCTCTTTCCAACCCTTTCGAGGACGACCCCTACCCCTCTTTCCTTCCCCTATAGATTTATATGCTTTCCATGTCATTCTACTTTGATCCATTCTCTCTAAATGACCAAACCACCTCAACAACCCCTCTTCTGCCCTCTGACTAATGCTTTTATTAACTCCACACCTTCTCCTAATTTCCACACTCCGAATTTTCTGCATAATATTTACACCACACATTGCCCTTAGACAGGACATCTCCACTGCCTCCAACCGTCTCCTCGCTGCTGCATTTACCACCCAAGCTTCACATCCATATAAGAGTGTTGGTACTACTATACTTTCATACATTCCCTTCTTTGCCTCCATAGATAACGTTTTTTGACTCCACATATACGTCAACGCACCACTCACCTTTTTTCCCTCATCAATTCTATGATTAACCTCATCCTTCATAAATCCATCCGCCGACACGTCAACTCCCAAGTATCTGAAAACATTCACTTCTTCCATACTCCTCCTCCCCAATTTGATATCCATTTTTTCTTTATCTAAATCATTTGATACCCTCATCACCTTACTCTTTTCTATGTTCACTTTTCAACTTTCTACCTTTACACACATTCTCAAACTCATCCACTAACCTTTGCAATTTTTCTTTAGAATCTCCCATAAGCACAGTATCATCAGCAAAAAGTAACTGTGTCAATTCCCATTTTGAATTTGATTCCCCATAATTTAATCCACACCCTCTCCCGAACACCCTAGCATTTACTTCCTTTACAACCCCATCTATAAATATATAAACAACCATGGTGACATTACACATCCCTGTCTAAGACCTACTTTTACCGGGAAGTATTCTCCCTCTCTTCTACACACCCTAACCTGAGCCTCACTATCCTCATAAAAGCTCTTTACAGCATTTAGTAACTTACCACCTATTCCATAAACTTGCAACATCTGCCACATTGCTCCTCTATCCACTCTATCATATGCCTTTTCTAAATCCATAAATGCAATAAAAACTTCCCTACCTTTATCTAAATACTGTTCACATATATGCTTCAATGTAAACACTTGATCTACACATCCCCTACCCACTCTGAAGCCTCCTTGCTCCTCCGCAATTCTACATTCTGTCTTACCTCTAATTCTTTCAATTATAACTCTACCGTATACTTTTCCTGGTATACTCAGTAAACTTATTCCTCTATAATTTTTACAATCTCTTTTGTCCCCTTTCCCTTTATATAAAGGGACTATACATGCTCTCCCCGCCAATCCCTAGGTACCTTCCCCTCTTTCATACATTTATTAAACAAAAGTACCAACCACTCCAACACTATATCCCCCCTGCTTTTAACATTTCTGTCATGATCCCATCAGTTCCAGCTGCTTTACCCCCTTTCATTCTACGTAATGCCTCACGTACCTCCACCACACTTACATTCTGCTCTTCTTCACTCCTAAAAGATGGTATACCTCCCTGCCCAGTGCATGAAATTACCGCCTCCCTTTCTTCCTCAACATTTAAAAGTTCCTCAAAATATTCTCGCCATCTACCTAATACCTCCCTCTCCCCATCTACTAACTCCCCTACTCTGTTTTTAACGGACAAATCCATACTTTCCCTAGGCTTTTTTAACTTGTTTAACTCACTCCAAATTTTTTTCTTATTTTCGTTAAAATTTCTTGACAGTGCCTCTCCCACTCTTTCATCTGCTCTCCTTTTGCACTCTCTCACCACTCTCTTCGCCTTTCTTTTACTCTCCATATACTCTGCTCTTCTTATAACACTTCTGCTTTGTAAAAACCTCTCGTAAGCTACCTTTTTCTCTTTTATCACACCCTTTACTTCATCATTCCACCAATCACTCCTCTTTCCTCCTGCCCCCACCCTCCTATAACCACAAACTTCTGCCCCACATTCTAATACTGCATTTTTAAAACTATTCCAACCCTCTTCAACCCCCCCACTACTCATCTTTGCACTAGCCCACCTTTCTGCCAAATAGTCGCTTATATCTCGCCAGAACTTCCTCCCCCCTTTTAGTTTATACACTTTCACCCCCCTCTTACTTGTTGTTGCCCACCCTCCTCTTTTCCATCTACCTCTTACTCTAACTGTAGCTACAACTAAATAATGTATATATATATAATATATATATATATATATATATTATAAAATATATATATAAAATTATATAAAAATATAATATATATATATATATATATATTTATATATATATATATATATATGTGTGTGTGTGTGTGTCACGAATCGTAATGACACGATTGCAAACAAACCATACCACGGGCGGGATTTGAACCCGCGGTCAGAGAGTCTCAGAACCCCAGACCGTCGCGTTAGCCACTGGACCAGCTTGCCACAATAAGATTCGTCCAACTAGGTATATTTCTACACCATAGGAAGGTTAGCATAGAAGGCTAGCTGGTCTAGTGGCTAACGCGACGGTCTGGAGTTTAAAGACTCTCTGACAGCGGGTTCAAATCCTGCCCATAGTATGGTTTGTTTGCAATCGTGTCATTACAATTTCGTGAGTCATGTTGATGGCAGTGAAGGGACTTGAGCTAGAGTTCGTCACGGCCATGCTAGCTGGAGATTCGTCTGTAAAAACTTGCATTTGTGGTCACAGTGGTGCCTATGCTAACCTTCCTATGGTGTAGAAATATACCTTGTTGGACAAATCTTATTGTGGCTAGCTGGTCCAGTGGCTAACGCAATGGTCTGGAGTTTTGAGACTCTCTGACTGCGGGTTCAAATCCCGCCCGTGGTATGGTTTATATATATATATGTATATATATATGCAAAACAAGCACTGTGCAAGAATAGTAAAATTTCAAGTGCTTTCGTGACTACTCACATTATCCTTGATAATGTGACTAGTAGTCACGAAAGTGCTTGGAATTTCACTATTCTTTCACAGTGGTTGTTTTGCATATTCTGAAATTACCTGTTTACCGTGATCTTATTGCATATATAATATATATATATATATATATATATATATATTATATATATATATATATACAGTGGACCCTCCTCCAACGGCATTAATCCGTTTAAGAGGCTTGCTGTTGGTCGAGTTAATTTTCTCCATAAGAAATAATGGAAATAGAATTAATCCGTTCCTGACACCCCAAAGTCTGAAATTTTTTT